TAGGACCCGGAAGAGAAAAGCGCCATGTTTTAGGGAGTGCCTCCTTTGGGGTCTTCTATGGTGCCTTATACAGATCATGTCGCATCCCTTTCTCAAACCCTCCAGTGGCTTCCCAACACTCTTCAAATAAAATCCTAACACCATGTCATAGCCTATTAGATCATTTCCATTCCAATCTTATTTCCTATCACTCTCTGCCTTGATGACTCCGGACTGGCCACACTGGTCTTCTTGCTTTTCCCCTAACACACCAAATTCATTCCTGCCTCAGGGTCTTTACACTTGATGCTCTCTTCTTGGAATACCCATTCCCAAGATCTTTGCAAGTTACACTCCCAAATCTCATTTAGATCCTCCAAAAGAACTCTCTGACTACTCTCTCCAAAATGTCCCCCCCCCATTACAACCACTCACCATGCTCTCTATCCCTTGCCTTGCTTTATTTTTCTTCACAGTACTTATTACTGCCTAACAGTAATCAGTAACTTATTTAACAAATATCTTCAGAACACCTAATACAGTGCTCTAAAGCACAGACTATCAACTAGGGACAACTTTGCCCTCCCAGAGGACACCTGCAATGTCTACAGACATTTTTGATCATCACAACTGGAGGGAGATGCTATTGGCATTTAGTGGGTAGAGGCCATGGATGCTGTTACACATCCTACAAGGCAACAACAGCCCCTATGAGAGTTATCCTGTATACAATGTCAATAGTGCAGAGGTTGAGAAACCCTGCTCTAAAGCAATACATAAAACTCCCTGTTCTCATGGAGCTTACATACTAGGGTAAGTATTATGTTATATATACATTTATTTTTTAAAATCTATTTGTTTTAGTTGACATATATTGATTGTACATACTTATGGGGCACAGCGTTTTATTTCAATATTTGTTTACAATGTGTGATGAGCAAAACAGGATAATTAGTAATTGGTATTTGGCATCACAGAAACATTTCTTTGACATGAAAGCACTTGAGCTCCATTATTCTAGCCAATAGAGAACATATGATAAATTATTTTTAATTACAGATGCCTAGTACTACTGTAGACCTCTAGAAATTATTTCTCCTACCTAGCTGTGATTTTATATCCATTTTAACCCACCTCTCCCTATCCTCCCACTTACCTCTCCTTAGGTTCGGAGACGAACCGGGAGGGAGGAGGATATTTTTTTTTTTAAGCTCCCACATGAGTGGGAACATGCAATATTTATCTTTCTGTGCCTGACTTATTTCACTTAACATGTCTTCCAGGGTCATCCATGTTGCCACAAATGACAAGATTTCATTCTTTTTCATGGCTGAGTAGTATTTCATTGTGTATTATACCACATTTTCTTTCTCCATTCATCTGTCATTGGATACCTAGGTTCATTCCAAGTCTTGTTTATTGTGAATAGTGCCGCAGTAAAAATGGGGGTGCAGATATCTCTTTGGTAGGCTAATTTGCTTTCCTTTGGATAATTACCCAGCAGTGGGATTGCTGGATCATATAGTAGTTCTATTTTTAGTTTTTTGAGAAATCTCCATACTGTCTTCCATAGTGACTATACTAATTTACATTGCCATCAACAGTGTGTAACTGTTTTCTTCTCTCTGAATTCTTGCCAGCATTTGTTATTTTTTGTCTTTTTGGTAATAGCCATTCTAACTGGGGTGCGATGATATCTCATTGTGGTTTTGATTTGCATTTCCCTGATGATTAGTGATGCTGAGCATTTTTTCATATACCTGTTAGTCATTTATATGTCTTCTTTTGTTTTGTTTTTTTTTTGTGTGGGTTTTTGGGTTTTTGGGGGGGTTTTCTTGGCACTGACCAGTACAGGGATTGAACTCTTGACCTTCGTATTATCATCACCACACTCTAAGCAGCTGTGTATGTCTTCTTTTGAGAAATGTCTATTCAGGTCATTTGCCCATTTTTTAATCAGATTATTTGGATTTTTTGCTGTTGAGCTAAGTTCCTTGTGTATTCTGGATATTAATCTATTGCTGGATAAATAGTTTACAAATATTTTCACCCATTCTGCCAGTTGCCTTTTTTTTTTTTTTTAAAAGATGACTGGTAAGGGGATCTCAACCCTTGGCCTGGTGTTGTCAGCACCATGCTCAGCCAGTGAGCAAACCGGCTATCCCTATATAGGATCCGAACCCACGGCCTTGGTGTTATCAGCACCGCACTCTACCGAGTGATCCACGGGCCGGCCTTGCCAGTTGCCTCTTTGCTCTATTCATTGTATCCTTTGCTGTGCAGAAGCTTTTTAGTTTGATGCAATCCCATTTGTCTATTTTTGTTTTTGTTGCCTGTACTTTAAAAGCCTTCTCCATAAAATTTTTGCCCAGATCAATGTCTTAGAGTGCTCCCCCTATGTTTTCTTCTAGTACTTTTATAGTTTCAGGTCTTACATTTAAGTCTTTAATCCATTTTGAGTTGGTTTTTGTGTATGGTAAGAGATAGCGGTCTAGCTTCTTTCTTCTGCATATGGATATCCATTTTTCCCAGCACCATTTACTGACAAGGCAGTCCTTTCCCCAATATATATTCTTGGTGCCTTTATCAAAAATCAGTTGGCTGTAGATACGTGGATTTATTTCTAGACTCACTCTTCTGTTCCACTGGTCCATGTGCCTGTTTTTATGCCAGTACCATGCTGTTTTGATTACTATAGCTTTGTAGTATATTTTGAAGTCAGATAGTGTAATACCTCCATCTTTGTTCTTTTTGCTCAGGACTGCTTTGGCTATTTGGGGTTTTCTGCGGTTCCATATGAATTTTAGGATTGCTTTTTCTATTTCTGTGAAGAATGTCATTGGTATTTTGATAGGGATTGAACTGAATCTGTAGATTGCTTAGGGTAGTATATGTTATATATTTAATTGGTTACTTTCTCTCTCCTTGTATTCAATACTTTATCACCAACACTAGACAGAGCCTGGAACATAGCACGAATTCAACAAATATTCATTGCATGAATGAATGAAAAAGACACAGCCTTCTTCCACCCAAATCACTTAAGAAGTTACTAAGTGATGTAATGCATTACTTTCTAAAATATGCATCACGTGCCCATCCCTAATAAAACCAATATGCTTACAACTCAGAGAAGGAAGAAAATTCATCATTGGATACTGCAGTCTGGACCTGTACTCTTGCTCGTCTTGGCAATGATGACATCTGGAAGAAATAGAACATGAAATCAACTGAATAGTCTGACCACTTTCCTTGGCTGCAAAATGATGTGCCATTCCAAACACACTATAGGTGGGGCTGAGGTGGTGCCGGCAGCCCCGAGCACCCGTAACAGGCTGTGCAATAGGTTCACTGACAGCGGCCTGGCAACCAACCGGCCTGTGGCTGCAGCTGCAGCAGCTAAGTGGGGTCTCCAGGCACCCACCCGCGCCCGCGCTGCCAGTGCTCATTTCTGACACTTTTCTCAGAAATGGAAAGAACTATCCAGACATTTATATGGAATGACAAAAGACCACGCATAGCCAAAGCAACACTGAGCAAAAAAAATAAAGCTGGAGGCATAAAACTACCTGACTTTAAACTATACTACAAAGCTATAATAACCATAACAGTATGGCACTGGTATAAAAACAGACACACTGATCAATGGAATAGAATAGAGAAGCCAGAAATCAACCCACACACCTACAGCCATCTGATCTTTGACAAAGGCACCAAGCCTATACACTGGGGAAGAGACTGCCTCTTTAGCAAATGGTGCTGGGAGAACTGGATATCAATATGCAGGAGAATG